CAAAGGATAGACAGAATTTCAAAAATACCAGGATCATAAAGAATAATTCAGAGGCACAATTCTATTCTTGGGTTTTTTCTAATCTGCAACTTTTTGGCTGTAACATTTTGCTTGCTTTATTAACTTGGCTGTTAGCAGTCACTTCAAACTCCAAACATATTAAACAGTTCAATGTCTTAACACTTGCCATTGAATATTTCTGTCTTTTTTTCTTTTATCTATGTCACCACTATCCACATGCAAAGGCCTCAAAATTTGGAGAACACATGATTTATTCATCTCCTTTTCCATCCACAAGTAATCAGGCATATGGATTGCTCTATTTATTTCTCCATAAATATCCACATTTCTTCCTGTTTAACAATTTACAATTTTTCTTTAGGAAAAGAATAGCCTTTCTCTTTATGACACAGACATACTCTGAATATTTCTTTTGTAATCACATGTATGGAATGCCTTTGTTATCCTTCTGTGGAAAGTCATGATGATAATTTCCCTAAATGATTAGAGTGTTTAGGTCTAATGGTTATTATGTTTTGAGCATAAAATGAGAAAATTAATATCGAAGTGCTTACAATGTTCTTAATGCATTGACTAATTATGTAATTTTTATAACAACATAGGATGTTGGTTCTAGATATATGAGAAAATATCTTGATTAACTTAATAATTTTGATAAATACATTTTTTCCTTATTGTTAGCCCCATTTCCACTACGTTCCAAAGTATGGAAAGGTAATTTTCTATTAGATCTTTTTAAATTATGGATGATGAATGCTTATGGCTTTTAAGTTGATATCACAGTTATCAAAATATGTCTTTTAAGAATGGTTGAATGGTTTGTAATAAGTTGGTTGTAATGGTTTGTAATAATGGTTGAATGGTTTGTAATAAGTTGGTTGTAATGGTTTGTAATAATGGTTGAATGTATGTAATAAGTTACCTTTTCAAGGGTAAGTATTCATATATTTCAACATGTAATATACATACTTTTCTAAATAAAATGAAATACTTCTTGTAAAACTAAAATTCTTAAACAATATTTCTAATACTTTTAGTCATTTGTATTCTACGTCAAAATTTTTGCTATCTTTGCACACAGTTCATATAATTATTCCAGCAACATTTTAAGTCCACTTGTTTTCAACTTAAATAAATTTATTTTAAAACAAAAATGTAAACCAGCATCCTTAATGGAGCCATATTTTTGTAATAACTAGTACAAATAATCTATCATTATTACAAAGTAAATTACATCCATCTAGCTCCATAACTCTTCAAGGAAGGATAAACATGTAACATTTTTGAAAGAGTAGAACCATAATCTACTTATTAAATTACACTGGTAAAAAGATTAGAAAAAAATAAAACTTGACATGATGATCATCCTTTTAGAGGGCTTGAAGAGAAAAAATGGAAAATATATTTTCTTGGAAATACTTCTATGTATGCATTAATTAATTGGGGAAAAGAGAGCGGAATTACAACACTGAACACTGTCTTGAGATACTCTGATTATATGACATGAATCATATCAAGGCTCTTCTTCGCTATTCTCTCTCTTTAAGGTAAGATCCAAATGAATCTCCCACAAATATTGCAGAATTGCTCATATTAGTATCAACATCGCTATTAGATGTTCGATGTAGGAATGAGAAATGTAAAATATTTTTCAATCCAGAAAATATTAAATAAGTATTCGTTATGTGTAAGATATCATGAAAGATGTGGCTAGGGAATAGAAAGGTTTTAACTTCTAAAGAGCATATAAAAAATGTGTGCCTTCTTGCATGGTGGCATGATGAGCTCTGTAGAACTGCTGCCCAGCAAAACAACAGCAGCTGGTAAAAACTATTAAAAAAAACAAACCCATTGTAAAGTCTATGGATCTTGTTTTAAATTCATTTGGAAAAGTACAAGAAAAAAAATTATTTCAGAAAATTTGCTAATTCTTGGTAAGACCAGTAAGAGTGTGTAGCAATTGAGCCATGACGTCCCCACCTGAGTTCAGTATCATGGAAAACCGGCTGTTAGTGGGAGTGGCCATGAACACCAGGCTCCTTGTTGCCCCAGCTCTCAGCTAAAGGCTGTGGTTTGTCTCCAGAAGGGCAGGCTGCCCGCAGTTTTCATTCCTCTCAGCTCTATATTGCAGAGGCTAAATTTCAGAAAAATATGGCCAAGACATTGGTGCTCCCTTTCTCTACTCAGCCTGTACCTGTAGAACAGAGGCACTACTCCAGCTGGAGCAGGCCAAGAATACTGGAGAATCCATCAGTTGCTGTCATCCCAGCTTGCTAGCAGGGTAGACATTCCTGGTAGGGTATGCAAGCCAAGAAACCAGAGGGTACTACTCTCTTTCTCCTGGAGCTTACTCATGGAGCAGGGGAGTTACTCTAAGAGCATTGAGCCACTGTCCCTGCTCATAGCTACATATAAATGGCCCAGAGATATTGTCCAGGAAAAAGATAAATGTCAGAAGAACAGAGAGGTCTTTGCAAAGAGGCTGATTTATTTGATCAAAGAAATTCAAGCCTAAGGAGGATTCTCTTGAAAACTATGGAGATTTCAAGGATAAGCTGTTAAGAGAATGTTGGTAGTATGTACTATGAAACCAACAGTCCTAAACATAGGCAGCAATAACCAAGGAAAGAGATAGCTAAGAAAAGCCTCCCTTTCTGTAGAAGAACGGGCTTATTTTTTAAAAAATTGAAAAGAAAAGCCTTCCTGAGGTTGGTATATTGGTCAAAGACTGGCCTCAAAAACTATTCCTTAAAAATGGCCTTAATTAAACTGGATCAGACTGTAGAGAGGTTTATTCCCCAGGACATTGTCAAGAACAATAGAGCAATCAGCCTACAGTTAGTAGGGTCTAATAGTTGGATGAGATTTCAACAAAGGCAGACTGAGAAATCGGTGAAAGAGATGGTCAAAAAAATCTGCTAAAATCATTGTCAGCTCTGGGTGACTATGCACCTGCCAAAGGCTGTATCCTATGCTGAAAGACTGAATACTTTCCTCATAAGATCAGTAACAGGATGAGAATGTGAACTTTTACCACTTCTATTTCACATTGTACTTGAGGTTCTAGTTAGGGAAATTATTCAAGAATATGACATTAAAGTATTCAGACTAGAAAACATAAAAAAGAAAAACTAGATATTTTATGGAGGTCATCATCTTATATGTAGAAAAACCTGAGTAATGCACCGAAAACTTATTAGAAGTAATGAACACTTTTTGCAAAGTTGCAATGTACAAGGTCAATATCCAAAAACCAATAGTATTTCTATACACTAGTAATGAGCAATCTAAAAATAAAATTAAGAAAACAATTCCACTGCATCAAAAGGAATAATATATTTAGAAAATATTTCATGACAGAATATTAAACCTATACTACAAAAACTATAAAACATTTTTGAAAAATTAAAGAAGACCTAAATCAATGGAGGGACATGTTATATTTACCTCATACCACATATTAAAATTACCTAAGTTTAGGTTAAACACACAAATGTAAGAACTGAAATTAAAAAATTATTAGAACAGAAGTGTAGATTCTTATGAGTGTGGAAAGGCAATGCTTTGTTAGATTGGCACCCAAAGCATAAGAAACTATATAAATTGGACTTTTTCAAATTATACTTGTATGTCAACAATTACTATCACGAACATGGAAAGGCAACCTACAGAATGGGAGAAAATAGTTTCTAATTGTATATCTGATGAGTGATTCATATATAGAATATGTAAAGAACTCTAACAACTCAACAACAAAAAAAAACCAAGCAATCCAATCAAAAAATGGGAAAAGGACTTAAAGAGACATTTCACCACAGAAGATACACAAATGGACAGCACATGAAAGATGCTCAACATATCCAGTCATTAGAGGAATACAAATCCAAATCACAACATGAAACCATGTCACATACACAAGGATGACAATAATCAAAAAGACATAAAAGTGAGCTTGGTAATTGTGATGAAATTGGAATTTTCATATGCCACTGGTGATAATATAAATGGTGCAGACATTTTAGAATGTAGTCTGGCATTTCCTCAAATGATTAAACCTATATTTACCATATTACTCAGCAATTCCACTCCTAGGTATAAGTACAAGAGAAATGACAGTGTATGTTCACACAAAAACTTATACATCAATTTTTACAGCAGCATTATTCATAGTAATCAAAAAGTAGAAATAAACTGTATGTCTATCCGTTGATGATAAATCATAAATACAAATACAAATGTCAAAAACCATACAATGGGATTGACATACATTCTGCAACATGAATGACCCTTGAAAATATTGTATTAAATGAAAGAAGTCACAAATGACCATGTATTATATGGTTTTATTTTTATGAAATGTCTATAGTAGAAAAATCTATAGTCACATTGAATAAATTATTAATTACTTAGGATTGGTAATGTTGGCAGGAAATGGGGAGCAGCTCTTAATTTGTTGGTTTCATTTGGGGTAATGAAAGTGTTCTAATATTGATTGTAGTTATGGTTGTATAGCTCCATGAATATACTAGAAGCTGGTAAATATTATATTTCAAATGGATAAATCACTTAGTAAGTAAATTATATCTCAATAAAGCTAATATATATGGTTATGCAATTATGCATATGTATTACATATTCATGTAATATTTATATCAAGAGTAAAACAACTATATATACATGCATATATATATGTATATATTTTCACACAAAAAAGCACACAAATCAAAAGGCTTTGTCTATAAAAAAGGAACCTTAAGTTCAGGCTCAGATATGTCATTAAACAGGACGAGATTCATTAAAAAATGTACACAGAGAGCTATAAACCCTCAATGGACTGCAGCTGACTATAACTTAGTTTGATGCAAGACTTAAACGACTTAGTAGTTGCTAATCTATTTTTGAATCACCTGCAGTGTTTAATATGAAAAGAAAATTATCTACAGCAGTAGTTCTCAACCTGGGCTTCTTTTACCCTCTAGGGCTGCGGTTCCCAATCCCAGAGCTGTGGACAGATAGTAGTCCATGGGCTGTTATGGACTAGGCTGCAGAGCTCCGCTGCATCACCCCCCAACCAAACCCCATCCGTGAAAAATTGTCTTATGAAACTTAGGAAGGGGGTTGTTGGTGCACAGCAGGAGGTGAGCGACTAGTGGGTAAGAGAAGATCCTTGTGTTAACAGCCACTCCCCATCCCTCTCATCATGCCTTAGTTGGGCCTACTGCATCCCCTCCCCTGTTCTGTGAACAAATTATCTTCCATGAAAGTGGCCCTGGTGCCAAAACGGTTGGGGATAACTGCTCTGGGAGACATTGGAATGTCTGTAGAAATTCTGGATATAGTTACTATTATCTAGTGAGCAGAGGGAGGGATGCTGCTAAACCACCTATAAAGCATAAACAGCCTCCCAAGAAAGAATTATCCCTCTGCAGTCAATAGTGCTGAGGCTGCAAAATCCTGATATACAGAAAAATATTTCATGTTTAAAATAATGGAAATTCATGAATTGGGTTTTAGAAAGAGTACTAAAATCTGCTTAGGGAATTAGAAAACGTCATGGGGGAATTCTAAAAGTCCTGAATGTCCTCTAAGATGGGTCTTAAGGGATGAGTATAATTTCGACAGGCACAGGTACGTGCATGAGGAAGGCTGTCTAGATGAAGGGAACCGCACTATCAAATGTGTAAGGAGGGAGAAAGTTAGAGAACATGGGAGGGTAAGTAAGTGATTTAGAATTATTTGAAACCTATTGGACTATATTGAGTAAATCTTAGAATTATTTGATTGAAATAAGGTTATTATTTGTGAAGTTAAACATAGTAGAAGAGTTTGAACATTATCCAGTAGTGAATGAAGAAACATTAATGATTACTGGGCATTTGGATATCATAATCAGAGATATATTTGAAATTTTATTTAGCAGCTTCATTAGGATTTTGAAAGTCTGTCAGCATTAGGATGAATTAGAAGTCAATTGTAATAGTAGAGGAGATAAGTATTTATTATGGTTTTATATCAGTTGTTTATGAGAATAAAAAATTTAAAGATAAATTTGAGCTGCAGAATGGTGATATGGAGGTACAACCAATAGGACTTTGGAAAGAAGGTGTCAAGGAAAGAGAAAATAAATGTGTATAGAGCATGATCTCCCTTCAATAAAACCTTAAGTATTGCTTTTCCTGGAAAAAGCCTGCATATGATCTGTGCTTTATTAAGTAAAGGAGATGGAAGCTTTTGAGGATCTTTATAAATGGCCACGTGATTGTTAGTGGTGAAGGCGGAAGGGTTCCCTGGGCAGAGCTGGAGGTCAGAGATGTGAACCTAGTAGGAAAGAAACACCAGTGAAAACAGTAATTGCTTAAGTAGGAGAAATGTGGTTTATACCACAAACATAGTAACTTACCCAGGAATCCCAAGACTCCAGTTGTCAAAAGGAGAAAGAAGCAGGAGACACTAAGAATTACTACAGCGAGACACCAGGCAAATGGAACTGAAGTCCCTGCCAGAGAGAGAAAGAGGCTGAGGGAAACAGAGGGACAAATATGAATTACACAGAGGGTTATAGAGAGGGAGGTTCCCAGAGATTCAGACTGCGACTCTTCAGGGTCTTCAAACTTGAATTGTAAATGGAAAGAGATACTGACCAATTTGAAACAACACTGAACTGATGCCTGGGCTCTGCTCCTTTTCTTTGACCATGTATCTCTTAGGGAAGTTACTTATTCTAACTTTAGCAAAATAATCCTCCGATCCATCTGAGTGCTTTGAGAACAAGAGCAGAATATTAGACTTATGGAGTTACTTTTTAAAAAGTGAAGATCTTTCTAAAATAATACTAAATAGATCACTTTTATTGACTCCTCATCAGAAGATAGTCATTATCTTATAAATACTGTATGCTCTCATACTTATGTAAAAACCCACAGTTTTCTCATTGCAGCTTCAATACTGTTCATCATTATTAGGAAGAGCTACAGTTATGCACAAAATAAATTCTAATCATAGACATATATACCAAATAATTCTAATCAAATATAATTTCTTGAAATTTCATAGAATGAATCTATGTTCACATGGAGATTCACAACTGTTTCTAACTAAGTGGAAAAGGAATCATTGTCCTACTTGATTAGTAATGAATGTATGTATGTAGCAACCAAACTACACTCATTCTCTAGAATGTGCTAAACTTGAATATTTGGCTTTCAACCTTTCTTTTTCATTTAGATTTTCAGATATAGTTTAAGCAACCTCATGAAACTGGGCAAGAGAACTCAGTGATTCAGAACAGTGGTTTCTGTCTCATTTCTTCCATCACATACACATAGTCTAAGACACTGAGGATGGTGAAGGTCTATCCTCTTCATAAACTTTACCTGTTTTGGGGGATGATTCAGAGTTTTTCTGATTGGAGTCTGAAGGATATGATTTCACTTTTGTGTAAATTGTCTGTTCTTCTGCCTCTGGAGATTAGAATAGAGATTCAGTTACTGCTTCATATTCACACTTTTTTTCTGAAAACGTGTGAGCTGTTAATATATGTAACAGAAGTAATAGAATTCTTTCCTAATAAAGGTATTCTGTGCAATTATTTTCTTCTTACTATGTGAAGTTTATCCGGTAAATTTTCTTTCATAACACAATTTTAGGAATAAGTTAGAGCTGATATATTAAATTGGAATGAAATTCTTTAGGGAAATTATTTAACAGAGAATCAGAATGTATCAGGATTCATTCAGTAGGAGTTGGGGAGAAAAAATACTAACCATTGTTTGGCATCTGCCTCGTTGCAGGAAAGTGCTTCAATTCTGCATATGTTGTACAATTTTCACTCATCTCTAAACAAGTTTAAGGTAAATTTCTAAAAGACACACAGATTAAGAGTTTATTTTAAAAAGTTTACATGTTTTAGCCTCTCTGGGTTCTCTGTATATCTTTGAGATCAATATTTCATGCCATTTAACTACTGATGCCTGAAATTTTACTTTTGCAAGTTTATTCTAAGTGAGATTTTTGCCTCACTTTATTAATATTTTACAATTCTAAAAGTTACCAGTTCTCAACATCTGTCTATAGGTCCTTGGGTATTGTCATTTCAAGTAGTACTGGAGTTCATCAAAGATGTTATTTACTTTAAAAGGTAGAAATGTGATCTATGAAATATGTCACTGAAAAATTGCCCTATCCAGTAAAGTATCAAAAACATTTTTTGACTCCTTTATATTGTAAAGCTTGATAATGTTATATAACAGGTTATTCTAAAATTTTTCCTTCATGGTTTCTGCTTTTATGTTTTTCTATTTGTCACCAGCCTTATTAGTAGTATTTTTTAAAGACCGAAGGACAGTGTGGTTCCTGTAACTTTCTAAAGGGTTGTTGCCACCATTAGAGATCTGTGCCCTCCACCTAGGATTGAAATTGATTTAAATGTTCTATGGAGTGTGTTGTTTTATGTCCATAATGTACAAAGGCACACACTAAAGGCAGCCAATTTTTTATGAAGTATTAATTTTACTTGCAAATTTTTCAAAAAGTTATTTGTGTCAAGCATTTTAAATTTTTTATAATCAAAGAAGTTTATATGGAATAGGATTCTAACTAGATAAAATTTTAATGATTCTTATACTCACTGGCTTGCCAGTGCATCATCAAATGTAACACTTTCTACATAGATGTATTTCCTCAGGGAATTATGTACCACTGTTACTTTTTATAATACATTAAAAATATATAGTTCTCTGTGTGAATACATATTAACGTTTAATAATTTCCCAGAAAAATTTTCTGTAAGAGGCATGATTGTACAGAAATACAATTCCTTTAAAAATCCTTACCATGTCTAAAATTCCTCAGAAATAGTGGTAGTTATAAATACCTGAGTCAGTGTAGTGGGGTTTCTGCTGGCGAGGGCGTTTGGTCTAGGTAGAAGAAGTCAGCTCCAGCGGGCAGGTGGAACAGACGTGTCTGAGCCGGAATATAAGGTGATTCTTCTTTGCTCTACGTCTTACTGCCTGCTCTTGTTACCCAGTAGGCTTCAGTATTTTTCAGCTACATGTAAAGATGTGAGAAGGCAATTCACATTTGAGCTTCAGGTTTTATCTATTTGCATGCTATATTACAGAGAAATGTGCAGTTTTTAAACAGAGGAGATGAACGTACATGACAATTTAAAGGGCCATGCTCATTTTGCACAGATTCAACGCAAACAGTGTACATTAAAAATAAAGACCACTGTGACCACTACCACCACCAAATGCTGAGATTCTAAATATAATCTGCATAATAGACACTAGTTTTTGGGGCTATAAATAAAAATGTCATTAATGAGATATTTAAATCATCCTGTAGATTACTATAGTATTGGCTGAGTACAAATACATGAGAACAGATAGACATTCATTCCTCACATTTATCAGAAGGGGATTGTGAAGAGAGAAATTTTTAAGGTTTATTAGCAATCTCTGGTTCATTTAAAATACATCTAAATTCAATTACTTTATTCCTTGCCACGTTTTTTTTTTTCCCCCATAAAATGTTCTTTCTGAAGTCTGTTTTTCAATTCATTCAGCATGAAAATAGAGTATATGTAATCTAAACTTTAGGCTTTGATGATGTTTGATTCCCTTCACCCTCCAGGGTGTACTCAAAGTATAAAGAGCAGAAGCACATTAAGTTCCTTTTCAGTAGTCAGCCTACTATTTCCCATGGTGTGATGACATGGGAACAATGACAATGCAATTCATTTTATGGGTTTCTAGAAAAATCATATGGGTTTCTAGAAAAGGGTTGAAATTGTTGTATCTGTTTTCACCATTCAGTAATAAAAAAACACGGTTAGTAAACAAATATATTTCAACTGTGAGCTTTCATTTTTTTACAGGAAAATATTTGAGAGTGCCACATTTGCAAAAATTTTCCACTGAGTTGTAGGTAGGAGAAATTCTTACTAAACAAAAACATATTTTGTTGTAAAACCAAATTTTCAGAGACCTCTCAACAGAGTGAATGTAATCAAATGACAACTCTAGGTGGTATGTGAAAGAGGACAATCTTATTTATCATCCAGCTACATATTTTTTTGGTCTTCTAATAGTAATTTTTCATTTTCATCCTGCTCTCTAAAGCTATAATAGACATTCTCCAAAAGAGGCATTTGGCAAGCTGGAGTCTCAACCACAGTGTGATTGCAGTACAAAGCCTGAAATCATTTGCTTAAGCCTTAGCTTCTTAAGTCTGCAAGTACATCAAGTGTTTCCATTCCTTCCTAGTCATTGTTTTTACCTACTTAATAGAAAAACAATTCTCTGATCCATTTATCATTTGCTTTTCACTATTAGACTTTTTTAAAGGTAATTTATCATTTTTTATGAAGAATATATCATAATAATTATTTTTAGCATGAAGCCCAGATACTCTATTATTTCTAAATACTTCACTAATTATCTAGTCTTACATATTCAATGTGATTACAAATGATCTTTTCTAATTTTAAATATTAATTCACTGAGATTATTAAACACTTTAAAAGATATCAGCACTGTGCTAAGCACTTACAGGTATTATCTCACTTGATCCTTAAATAAGTTAGAATTAAAAAAATAAATTTTTTTTATTATGGGGTGGTGTTAAAATACAATGGACTTTGGTAACTTTGTGAGATTTTCTGTCTTAATTTCATGAATTCACAAATGTAGAAAAGCACAAACACATACAAAACTTACAGTACATTGAAGAGCCTATTTAATGTAAGCCTCAGTCAGCACAGCTGTGTCCCACATCTGTAGGACAGGTAGATTCATTTGTTACAGTCTGCATTCCATCCTGGCTTCAGCTGACATCTTGATTGCTGTTTTTTTGTTTCTTTATTTTGTATCAAGGTCCATTATTTGCAATGTACAGTTCTATGGACTTTGACAAATATGTAGAGAAGTATCCCTTACCCCACAATGATACTGACTAATTCCTTCACTATAAAAGTTCTCTTGTGCCTTCCCTTTGTAGTTAAACACTTCTCCCTTCCCTAACTGCTGGCAATCTGTGATCTGTTTTCTGTCCTTATAGTTTTTCCTTTTGCAGAATGTCATGCCAATGGAATCATATAATATGTATTCTATTGTTTAGTAGAATCCATTTAAGATTTACCATCTTTTTGCATGAATCAACAGCTCATTCTATAAGTAAAAGTTTCTATGTAGAAAATTACACAACATAAAATTTACCATTTTATCCATTTTAGATGTATTGCTATTTTTCAGGGCATCAAGTACATTAACAATCTTGTGCAACTACCACCACAATACATCTCTGGAAATTTTTCATCATCTCAAATAGGAAGTCTGTATCCATTAAACAGTATCTTCCATTTCCTCTCTCCATGGATTCCATGGTAACCTCTCTTTTCTGTCCCTGTGAATTTGCCTACTGTAAATACTGCATATAAGTGGAATCATACAATGTTGCTCCTTTTGTGTCTTGCTTATTTCACTTAGCATAATGTTTTAAGGCTCATCAGTGTCACAGCATGTATTGGAATTTCATTCCTCTTGTGGCTGAATAATATTCCTGTTGTATGCATATATAAAATTTTGTTTATCTATTCATAAAAGTAATGTTATATTGTCAATAGACACTTAGGTTGTTTTTACCCTCTGTCTATTGTGAATATCGTTGCTATGAACATTTGTACACAATTATCTATTTGAGTCCCTGCTTTCAGGGTATATCCTAGGAGTAGACTTGCTGGATCATGTGGTAATTTTGTTTAACCTTTTTAAGAACTGCCAAACTGTTTTCTATAGTGACTGCATCACTTTACATTTTTACAAGTGATGCATGAGGACTCCAATTTTCTCCACATTCTTGTTAACATTTGTTTTTGTTTTTTAAATAATAACCATGCCAGTGAGTATGAAGTAGTACTCTATTGTGGTTTTGATGTGCATTTCGCTAATGACTAATGATATTGAGCATCTTGTCATGTACTTGTTGGCTATTTATATATCTTCTTTAGACAAGGGTGTATTCAAGTCCTCTGCCTAAGTTTGAATTGGGTTGTTTGCTTTTTGTTGTTGATTTGTTGGAGCACTTTACATATTCTGGATACTAGCCTTAGCCAGGTATATGATTTTCAAATATTTCCTCTCATTCTGTGGGTTGTCTGTTCACTCTCTTGATAGTGTCCTTGGATGTAGAAAAGTTTGATTTCGATAATGTCCATTTTACCTATTTTTTCTTCTGCTCTCTGTGCTTTTGGTGTCACATTCAAGAGATCATCATTAAATCCAATGCCATAAGGATTTTCCCCTGTTTTCCTCTATGAATTTAATAATTTGAGTTCTTGAATTTATGGCTTTAATCTATTTTACTTAATTTTGTAAATGATATAATGAGCCCAACTTCCTTCTTTTATATGTAGATATTCAGTTTTCCTAATACCATTTGTAGAAAAGACTGTCCTTTTCCCCAAAATAGTCTTGACACCCCTATTGAGAATTAATTTGTTTTATTTCTGGGATTTTTATGTATTTAATTCAGTTTATAGCTTTGTAATAAGTTCTGAAATCAGAAAGCATGAGTCCTCAAATTTTGTTTTGGCCATGTGAGGGCCCTGAAGGTTCCAAATAGATTTTAGGAGGGGTTTTTATATTTCTGAAAATGAGGCAAGTCCATTTTGATAGAGATTGCATTGATTGTTCTGGCAGTATTGTCATTTTCATATAGAAACCCTTTATTGAATGTATGGCTTGCAAATATTTTCTTCCAATCTGTAGGTTGCCTCTTCACTCTATTATTTCCTTTGTTGTGCAGAAGCTTCTTAGTTTAATATAATCCCATTTGTCTACTTTTGTTTTTGCTGCCTGTGCTTTTGGGGTCAAATCTGAAAAATCATTAGAATGTTGTGTAGTTTTTCCTATTTTTGTTTTTTTCTCCCCTAGTAGTTATTCAGTTTCTGGTTTATGTTTAGGTCTTTAATCCATTTTAAGTTGATTTTTGTATATAGTATGAGGTTAGGACCTAATTTCTTTCTTTTGCTGGATGGATACTACAATCGGCTCTGATCAGGCTGAGCAACAGAGAGTATCCGCTGGACAGATGGTGCCATTCTTTGAGATCAGTAGTTGCAGGCGTGGCCATGAGGTTAGGTGGAATTGCTGATCAGGAAGAATGGGACCGACTGCCATGCTTATTAGAAATGCATCGTTGCTGTCCTAGCACTCCGGGAGGTTGAGGTGGGCGGATAACTAGAGCTCAGGAGTTCGAGACCAGCCTGAGTAAGAGTGAGACCCCGTCTCTACTAAAAATAGAAATAAATTAATTGGCCAACTAAAAATATATAGAAAAAATTAGCCGGGCATGGTGGCACATGCCTGTAGTCCCAGCTACTCAGGAGGCTGAAGCAGAAGGATTGCTTGAGCCCAGGAGTTTGAGGTTGCTGTGAGCTAGGCTGACACCCTGGCACTCTAGCCCGGGCAATAGAGTGAGACTCTGTCTCAAAAAAAAAAGAAAAAAGAAATGCATGGTTGAGATTTGCCTCCTGCCTAGGTGGGCTTTAAGGCTGAGCGTTCTTTAATCTCCCAGGCATGCTGAAATTTGCCCCTGCTCTTTGCCAAAGTTCGCTGTAGTGGTGATGTTCTTTTCTGGGTGTGGCCTGGGGGTCGGGTCTGAGGTTGGTCTTGGACACTGGGGATTCAAGCCCCGTAGAGCTTCCCACCATCTCTGGGAGTGACCAGTTTGGCTCTTCAGGTGGAATATATGTTGTTATCTGAAACTTACGGTCCAGCGCCACCACAGACAAATGCACAGAGCTGCCACCAAGATCTGCATGCTGGTCTCTGTAGCTCTGCACTCTTGCTTCCTTTCTTCCTGCTTTTGTGTGGTGGTGTTTGCCTTTACCTCCTAACTTTCCAAGAAGCTGAGGGTGGAGTGGCCTTCCTAGGAGGCATCTAGGAATGCTAGGCAAGCCGAATGTCCACCACCAGTTCTTTTTTTTTTTTCACTGTAGAAACCCTAGCGTGGGCAATCCTCTCTGTGTGGTGCTGTGCCAACTTGGAGAGAGGAGGTGATGACACAAAGTGAGCCCATTTTTCTTTTCCTTCTAATGAAGTTTTTATTCAGTTCTGTGGTGCATGCAGGTGTCTCAGCCTTATTCCCAAGTTTTGGGATTTTCCTCAAGATGTTCTTGTCTGTGGATAGTTGCTGGTTGAAGCTTCTGTGGAGAGTAAGGAGGCCTGGGACCTCCTATCATGCCATCTTGCTGACTTCACTCAATTTTTTTTTTTCTTGAAAATCTAAGGATGAGAATCAGTTAATGTTTTGACAGAGATTTTCTTCAATACCAGGTGCCACAAAGCACAAACCACCTTCCCCACCCCTCACACACAGAACAGAAAAACAAACAAACAAAACCAACCACCTCTCTTGGTCTTTGCAAATTGGCTCTGCTTTGTGGAACTTCTTCAGTACTCAGCGAGGCTTGCTCTAAGCCTGGCAATCAGCCTGAGGTGAAAGCTTAAGGTCTTTTCAGGTCTCTTCTGAGAACAGGTCTTGAATGCATAAGGCTTTCTAAATATGGGGCTGCTTTTGAATGTCATGGCATACCAAGGACTCTTACGCCAGCTTCTCCTCCAAACCTTGGGCCATTCTCTTGTATGTTTCTGTTTGTACTATCTTGCCCAAGGTGTCTGTGGGGCCTATTCCTCCCTGCAGCATTTACAAATGGTGCCCACCGCTTCCTCTGCCTTAATTCGGAGTTATATGAAACAGATAAGTGCTTTGTGTCAGTCCCTTAGGTGTTCCTTAGAGAGGTCAGAACAGAGCTACACAATAATTTGCAAATACAGTCTGTTCTGTGTCCTCTGGTTCGAGGGAGGGAACTAGGAGCAGGGCTGCCACTGCTTTAAGACTCCTGGATATTTAGTCAAACAAAATCTGGGTGTTTCTGTGAGTGTGTTTTTGGCCTCATGTATAAAAATACCAATAAAATTTTTCTGAGTCATTTGTATGGTAAAGTTGAGATTTGAGTGAGTTGACACAGAGATGAGAGCCTTGAGTCAGTCTTTCAGAGATTCACCAGGCAGTTTAGAAGAGACATGTCCAACAATTTGCAAATAAAGCCTGCCTCTGGTCCTTCTGGCTTGAGGGTGGGAACTAAAAATTGGGCTGCTACCACTTTGAGAACACAATTCCCTGATACTTGGTTAAAGATAAGTGGGGCGTTTCTGTGAAGGAACTTTTGAATGAGATTAGCATTTAAATTTGAGTAAAGCAGATTGTGTTGTCTAATGTGGGTAGACATCATCCAGTCAGTTGAAGGCCTGAAAAGAACAAAAGTCTGGCCTTACCCCCAGCAAGTGGATTTGTGTATCAAACTGCCTCCTACTTCTCTAGCCTTGGGCCTTCCTGGCTCTGCCACAGACTGTTGTGGACTTCACATGCCACATGGGTTCTTCTTGCCTGATGGCCTTCAAACTAGAACGTCTGCGTTCCCCGGATCTCCTGTACCACTGGCTCACTAGTGAGATTTTGGATTCACTAGTTTCCATATTATTGGAACCAATTCCTTACATATTTGCAAAAAAAAAAAAATGTGCAAGGAGTGTAGACTTCCCATTTAGTCTGCACTTACTTTCTCCTCTTATTTCTGTCTTACATTAGTATGTTACAGGTGCTATAATTAATAACATTATTGATATTACCATGTTTCCCTGAAAATAAGACACGGTCTTATATTTACTTTTCTTCAAGGAGTCACCCTAGGGCTTATTTTCAGGGGCTGTGTTATTTTTTTTAAGCATGGTACAATAATCTACATTTATTCAAATATGGTTAAGTCGTCTTCTTCTGGAACATCATCATAACTCTCCAAACCCCAAATTCCATCCTGAATTTCCTGCGACTCTATGTCCTTTAGAACCATTGGCCCCAATCTCCCATGTCGAGCAATAGAGCTCTCATGGGGCAGATGAGAAGGCCTGTTTGTCTTCTTTATCGCTCTGTGACAAAATGCATGGGTTGTGCAGATAAGCTGTGTAGCCACGCCCATCACTAGGTCTTATTTTCGGGGTAGGGCTTATATTGCGCAAATGCTTAGAAATCTTGCTGGGGCTTATTTTATGGGTACGTCTTAGTTTTGGGGAAACCTGGTATTATTGTTAATTAAAAGCCATACTTTATTCAGTTTTCCCTACTTTTTACCTATGTTCTTTTTCTATTTCAGGATTCCGCATCAACTTGCTGCACTACATCTAGTTGTCATGTCACCTAAGCCTCCTTTTTGCTGTGACAGACTTGCCTTGCTGTTGATGGCCTTGGCAGTTTTGAAGAATACTGGCTAGGTTTATTGTAGGTTTTCCCTGAACTGGGATTTGTTATAAACAGAATTATGCTCTCCACCAATTCATATGTTGAAGCTCTAATTCTAATGTGACTGCATTTGAAGATAGGGCCTTTAAGGATATAATTCAAGTTAAATGAAGTCATAAGGATGGGGCTGTAAAGCAACATGACTGATGTTTTTATAGGAAGAGAGAGAGACACCAAAAACACACACTTACAGAGAAAAGGGAAAAGTGAGGACACAATGAGAAAGTGGCCATAAGCACTCCAAGGACTTCTATCTTCCAGAATTTTGAGAGATTAAATTTCTATTGATCAAGCTACCTAAAAATCTATGGCATTTTGTTATGGCAGACCTAGCAAACTAATACAGATTTTGGTGCTGACAAGTTGGGTGCTACTGTAACAAATATCTAAAATTGTGGAAGTGGCTTTGGAATTGTGTGTGTGGTAGATGCTGGAACAGTTTTGGGGCATATGTTAGAAAAAGGTTACATTGTACGCTGGTAGGAATATGGATGCTAAAGGCAATTTTGGTGAGGTCTCAGATGGAAACCATGAACATGATCTTGGAAACCGGAAGAAAGGTCACTTTTGTTATAAAGCAGCAAAAAATTTGGCTGAATTGGGTACTACTGTTTTGTAGAAAGTTGAAATTGCAAGTGTCAACGTTCAATATTTAGCTGAGGAGACTTCTACGCTGTGCTGAAGGCATGGCCACATTTTTCCTTACTGTTTATAGCAAATACAAGAGAAGACAGATGAATTGTAGGAATTGCTAAGCAAAAAAAAAAAAAAGACCAAAAAACCAAAAAAACCCATCACTAGAATATTTGAAAAATTCTCAGGCTATTCATATTGTAAAAAACAGAGAGATCATATTATGGAGAGAACACCAAAGCTGTGACTGGAAGTACTTTGATAAAGAGGTCATGAATACATTTCGTAGATTTTTATCAGCCATTTCAATGGAGATCGGGAATACATACAGGAACCTACAGCAGAAACACCCACGGCTGGGACTGAAGTGGCAGACGTGGGACCCAGTGAAGTTCTGAGAGTCTACAGGATGGGGCAGTAGAGCAAGCTGGTTGCAATAGGTGCTAGCCTTCAAGAAAACATAAGGATGATCCTGAGGGTGATTCAGAGATCAGCAGGGCTTCCGCTCCACCAAGGCTCCTGGGTTTCAAAGAATGAATCTGGTTTCTCCTTGCTTTCAGTGGGGCCAGCTCTGGCTGCCCTGTTCCTTGGGAGCAGGGCCACTGCCTAGAGACTTAGAGTCAGGACCACAGATCAGGGGAAAGGGGCCGTGCTGCTGCAGCCGTGGGCATGGAGCTAGGGAGAACTAGAGCACTGAGTCAAACAGCGCTGTTCTCAAGTCTTAAGATCAACTGGAATTTGGCTCTCGGAGTCTCAGACTTGCTTGTGACCCTTCACCTCTTTCTTCCTTCAGATTTCTCCCATTTGGAATGGAATTGTGTCCTATGTCTGCCCCACCACTGTATTTTGGAAGCATATAACTTGTCTGGTTTCACAGGACCATAACCAGAGAGAAATTTTAGCTCAGGATGACTCATACCAGGAGTCTCATTTATGCCAGATTTTACGGTCTTACTTGTACCTGATTTTTTATGATATTTACATAAGACTTTGGGCTTAGAGTTGATGCTGGAGAGAGTTAAGACGTTTCTATCTGTTGGGATGGCTGAATGTATTTGCATGTGAGATTTATACGAATTTTGGGGGGACCAGAAGGCAGAATGTTATGGACTGTACTGTGTTCCCTTAAAATTTATTTGTTAGAATTCTAATCCCCAATGTTACTATATTTGAAGATAGCCCCTTTAAAGAGGTAATTAAGGTTAAATAAGATCAAAAGGGTAGAGGTCTAATCCAATAGGACTTGTGTCCTTACAACTGTCTCTTATTGACACCACAAATTCAGATACACAGAGAAAGGGCCAAGTGAGGACATGGAGAGAAGATGGCTATTTGTGAGCCAAAAAGAGAGGCCTCCAAAGAAACTAATCTTGCTGATACCATTAAATATAAGAAGGTAAATGAAGACCAAGAACAAATTTGTTATGCAGCTTTGAATTCTAATGAAAAGTGAAAAATGCATTAAGAGAAGAAAAATTGCAGATTAATGCCTATAGTAATTTGAGAAATGAAGCTTGATGAAGAAATGATATTGCTGATTTTCTATTTTATTGAATCATTTTAAATATTTGTTGTTTGTTTAAATTATTTGTTTAAATAATATTTTTAATGTAAGAACATCATGAATATAAACAGCAGCTATGATATACTGGCAACTGCTGGCAACATTTTAAAGTGTACTCTTCCATCTCCTTTCTATCCTCTTGTAATTCCAAGTTACATGTTTCTTTATTTTACCTGGTCCTTTTATTCAATCAATTTATTGACATGAACATATCTCTATGTCATAAAGTGAATTTTGATAAGTTTATCAGGCATATAGTATTTCATAATATTAATTGAGAATTAACCAGTTCCTCATTTATGGATACACAGCGTTTCTAATATTTCTGATCCTCAGATATAACACTGCTGTGAGCATTCTTTAAGTTAAACATTTGCCCACAACCTGAATTTTTCCTTGTGTTGAATCATTATCTTTGTTTTGACTTCTCTCTCTCTCTATTGGAATGTCATTAAAAACAGGATGTGTAATATATGCATATGTAATAATATGAGACCTAACAATAATATGAGACCTAATAATGAAACATTAATAATTTTTTCCTTTCCCCTATAGTCCTAATTCCTGTGATGATCAATGTAAATAATTTTTTATTCTAATATCAATTAAATAAACACATTTGCACATATTGTTTCTTCAGGTTTTTTTTTCTCCTATTTTTCTTCCTCCTTCTCGTATTCCCTCTTTTCCATTTTCTATATAGTATTGTAATGTCCATTACTATACAACATGCTTTTTGCTCCTAAACAACAAAACATATGGAATCTTCCTTTTAATTCATTTTTAAAAAGAGTTCTTTCTTTAAAATGCATAAATTTAAATCTACCCAAGTGGAGAGGTGGTTAATTGTATCGCAGTAAGAATATTTTATTCTAATAGAGTCAGTATATCCATGACAGGGATAATGCATATGTCCATATAATAAATTTTCTTTTTTTCAAATAAGTGATGCTTAAGCACTAGTGATTAATACTTTTTCTTCTTTCTCTCTTAGTTATCTGAATCCTGACCCATGACAATTTTAATACAGTAAAATGAGATTTTTAGAAATTTGAGACAGAAAGTAAACAAAATAAAAATGAATCACAATATAAGCAGGAAATCAATGATGTAGGGCTACGTCCCCCAATCCACAGGCCAAGGCCCAGTGCCAGTCTGTGGCCTGTTAGCAACTGGGCCACACACTATCACTTGAGCTCCACCTGCCTCTACCCTGAGTCCCCAGTTCATTAAAAAATCGTCTTCCATGCAACTGGTCCCTGGTGCCCCAAAGGCTGGGGACTGCTGACGTAGGGTATTTTTGATTAAGCCTCTGCTCTCCTCATCCTTGACTTTACTGAGTTGTTTGAGTGAATAGTAAAGTTATAATATTCTTCGTAGTCAATCAGCCTTGTCTTTCTTACATTAAAAGATGTGATATATTTTTAGGATTTATTGTAAGACCGTTTGACCTGAATTAGACATGGAAAAAATAGAAAATTTACAGCTGTCTATATCTGAAGTATTCTGTGTGGTTTCAACCAAACTGGCTCAAATACACATTCTTTGAGGTTATAACCCCAATGGGAAAGAATCTTATGTCTATTTTTGTTTATGTACAATATCTATTTCTACCCACTAAAACATCAGCTTTGTTGATGTGAGCGAAATTAATAGTGCAAGATAGATTTTTGGTGGTTACTCAATTATAGTTCTATGAATAAAACTGTTTTTAACTTAACAGAAAGAGGAGGAGAGGACACCAACGAACATTAATCCAAGCTGTCAAGTATCTACATAGTTAGACTTTAACATGTGATTTCTACCTTCAAATGCCATTTCATAGCTATCACCTAAACCTACATTTGATTAACAAATTATCTGTTATTTCCAATATTATTCCTTTTCTTGTTCCTCTGGTTGTCCAGTCTCTTGTTTTCCTTATACCTATGTCTTCCTTTCCTACATATTAATTTATGGACATTTTCACTCTAGATGATTTATTTATAATTTTTTTTAACAGAGAGATTTTCCTAATTGAGGTTTTTATTTCCAGAGAGATAGAATATACCTTGTACAAACCAGGTGCCATTAAAAGGCTTGTACATAATCTAGTAAAAGAAGAACAATTTTTATTTAATAATTTTGAAAGCCTATTAGATATATATTCCAGTTACTGATTCACATTTCCTGTGTGGTTTTTACCAAAGTAAGTTAGTATCATATAACTGTAAGTGGCTGCCCCACCTTAGGCTAGCTCTGGACTTCTCATCAACCCTGGGAGGATAGTAGGTGGAAATATTGCTTCATTCACCTGCCAACATCCTTGTGGACTCTTCTTCACCTTGCAGACAAAGAAACCATCAAAAAAAACCCCTCCTGCATAATGTCAACTACTTTAGCCTCTGAACAACCTCCAGGTATGTTTTTTAATCTAAATATCCTATGCTATTTTAATGAAAGCAAAAATTTTAGTTATTTTGTTTGATTATAACAGGGGCCTGATGTCCTATATTTTCCCAGACATACTAGAAAGAGTGCTTTCAGATGTAATTAACAGAAAAAAATGTCTGTTTTTACTAGATCAAAAGTATAATAAATCAAACAATAATTAATATTTTTAGAAGAGCTGGATAGGCTACTGGGTTGAAATGTGATTTGAGTATATTTTGTGATTTTTCTACTAATACTGTATTTGTATTTTCAGTGATCTTTGAAAATAGAATAAATATCTTAAATCAAATTATAATCTTATTTGTTTTATTACATTATACATTAATTCTGTATTTTATGTGCTAAAAGAAATCACAGAAGAGACAGAGACAATTCCTATTGTGGACTTAGAACCACCTCCTGACCTTCCTCCTGTTCCTCCTCCTCTAGAAGATGAATGGGAACCAATTCCTAAAAACACCAATGTGAATGGTAAAGTATATGTACATCAGATTTTATTCATTTGTGTTCTCTCTTTGTTAGTAGTAAGGTACATTTTCCCTGGCTCTACTATCCTTTAGTTGTTACTCTTTGTAATTTTTATATTTATATAAAATATAGAGATTAAAATGTTTTCAAAAGTATATACAAGTAAAACAGAAGCATATTTGCTCCCAGAGATGTTTGGAAATTTTGTATACTAAGGAGTATATTTAAAGATAATAAAGAATTTATTTGCCCAAACTTAGTTTCTTTATATGAAACTAAGGGACTTAAACAGGTAACCAAAGTTTAAAATTTAGCAAATCTGTAAAAAAAACAACAACAACAAAAAGAAAAACACTACTACTTGTTTGTCTCCTTTTGATCATAAACAACATCATTTAGTTAGATCAGGATCTCTTCAGCCCTACAGACATTTCAGGCTGGACAATTCTTTGTTGTAGAAGAACTTTCCTGTGACAGTGTGATATTTTAATCCCATCCCTGGCTCCTTCCCACTAGAAGCCAGTAGCACCTGCCCCTCAGTTATGACACCAGAAATGTTCAGATATTTACAACTGCCTGCTGATCATCAAAATTACCTCTTATTGACACTCACTGAGTTGTATTATTCAGAAAATTAAGGAAATGCTTTGGACATTAGATTATCAATATAATCATTCTTTTTGATGTCAGCTTTTTACCATGATCACAAGTGCAATTTTTCCATAATGTAAGGAAATAAGCTTTTTGTACTAGAGCATACATATTTATTTTTGAGGGAAATAACCTGCCAACAAAAAGCATCTAAACAATGACATCTAAATGATTAATTTTTAGAATGTGGGAATGTAACATTTTATTTGTTATAGAATTGAAAACAATTACAGATATTGTTCAGCCTAAAAGCAAATCTGATTAAAAATACTCCCTAAGATTTAGAGTAGTTCTTTTTGAGGGGAGTATGCTCCCAGTCATCAATTCCAGATAAGGAGCTCTATTCTAATAATGGCACAAACTTAATATAACTAACCATTTTGCCATTTGATAATATTAATGGGGATAACGTAATTGGAGCTGAAATTGTATAGCTGGTATTTAAGGATATTTATTAATACCTTGTATATAAAATTTTTGCCTGTGCTGGGGATTGCCAAGACCACTCTCGGGTTTAAGGATTCACTAGGAAGCCTCACAGGATCCAGTATACAGTGGTACTCAATCGTTAAAATTTATGACAGTGAAAGGAAACCAAGCACAATCAGCAAAAGTGAAAAGGTACATGCAGTGAAGTTTGGAGGGACTAGGTGCAAGTTTCCTAGGTGAACTCACCCAGTGAAGTCACACACTAATTCCCCCAGCAACTAGTTGCAACAGTGCATGTACAATGTTGCCAGCTGGGGAAACTCACTGGAGGTTCAGTAGGTAGTATCTTTACTGGGCACTGATCACATGGGCAGCCAGAAGCTTGGCATGTGATAATTCCAGACTTCCAGAAGGAAAGCAGGTGTTCAGCATGAACTTTGTTGTTTTACAGAGTGTAGGCATAGCAAGAAATTCTTACTAGTTAATAGTGGTTGGAACCTTCACAAAATCTAAGCTTAGCTTCCCGGTGCCAGCCAAGGCCAACCTTGTCAGCAGGCCTTTCAAAAGGAGCCGTCAGGACTGCTATGTTAACTCTTTTGTACACATCCTCTTAGACAGTTTTTATTTTCTCATTCGGTCTAATAGCTCATAGTAATTCACACATTGGATACTAACTATCAGAAAATTCAGGATATTTTGAGAACACTATGAACTGGAAGATAATGATATTAATCTTGCAAATAACAGACGCTCACATTGGTTTTGATTATCATTCTTTGTTTCTCAGCTTCAGCTTCTTCCTGTTCTCTACATGGAATAATTACTGTGGCCCTCAGTATATTCAGCTTGCTGCTCTTGCTATTGTGTGGACTCTTTGCTTATCAGTGTAAGTGTAACGAATTGAAGGAAAGGAGGGAATAGATTCTTTGTCAGATTATTGTATTTCTTTAAACATGTTGGAAATAATATTTTTGGGTAAATGTTTTATTTATTGAACAGAGAAAAGGAAAAATAACTGAAAATATTATAACTTTTTACTTATGGAGGTACTTGAACTTGTGAGCTCTCAATAACTGTACAATGTATCAAAAGAGGTTATATTATTGCAATTTCTGCAGAAGATATTGAGAGTAATGAGTGATTATTATCATTAACATCACAACTTATTAAGAAATCTAGCATGATGAATTTTTAACTCTTTACTTTGAAGATAGAAAATAACTTCCTTCTCTGGAAGGCTTGTGTGAAAAAAAAAGAAAAAAAAAATAAAAAGAAAATAACTTCTTTTATAATTTGTTCAAATTGACCATGCCTTCAGCAGTTTAAATTAAATCAATAGACTATTTTTATCATTATTAAAATTATTTTAAAAAATTCATTAAAAATAGTAATTTCTTAATGATAAATTAGTTTGAAATGCCAAATATTACAATTCGATTAGGAACTGAAATTATACACATTAAATTATCCAACCATGATGCCATAAGATTTATCTGAGAACTTGTTTTTTATTGCTATTGTCTGTTTTAATTGAGTTGAACCATCATTCTATTAATATAAACAAACACATTCAGTTTTATAAGAAATTGAGATGATATATCGGTTTTAGATATAGATTTTAGGAATAATAATGAATATAGTAGTCCCCCTTTATCCAGTCTTTCTTTCTATGGTTTCAGTTACCAGGGGTCAACTACACTCCAAAATAGAAAATAGAAAATTCTAGAAATAATTGATAAGATTTAAATTGTGGGCTGTTCTGAGTAGCATGTAAAAATCTCATTTCATTCCACTTGGGATGTGAATCATCCCCCTTTCCAGTGTATCTATGCTGTATATGTTACTCATCCATTACCATACAGAAAAAACATGGTGTATTTAGAGTTTGATACTATCTGTGGCTTCGGGCATCTATACTGGGCGCCTTGGAATCTATCCTCTTCAGATAAGGGGGGACTACTGTGAATTAAAACATACTTAAACAAATATCTTTTTATAGTTTTAAAAAATGTATATGGGAAACTTCATTAAGAAAAAAACTATAGAAATTAAACCTCATAATCTGATAAGTTACTATTTCATAATTGAGCATGTGTTTCATACATGTTTTGAATTCTTGTTCTTAGATTTTCAAAGTGTTCAGGCATCAGAGAGCAAGATGAAGAGTCTTAACCAATGGATTGAGTCTTTCCAAAACAAAGCAGAAAACTTTCTTCAGGTCCCAAAAGTTCTTGACCAAAATAAAGGTAATATTAGAGCTGAAACAAATGACCTTCACTGAATGCTAGATTGTTTTTCTTGTTGCAACCCTTAAATGTATGGTTGCATTATGCAATAGGGAGCCCTGTAATACAGCAGCATGGTAGTTTTGATGGCTGTTTACATCTTTTAGTTCCCTGTGTCATCTTCTGAAACTGAGTGACTCTCACATTTTTCAAACATAGTCTCATTTATCACATAGTCTCCTATAGTGAACCATTAAATCAGCCATTCCAGAGCTCTTTAATAGTTGATCATGTTAAAAACCAATTTCTAAGTACAGATGCATCTTGACTTAGGGTGGGGTTACATCTGGTAAACCCCCTGTAAATTGAAAGTACTGTAAATTGAAAATGGATTTAATACAACCTAGACTGCTGAACCTCACAGCTTAGCCTAGCCTACCTTAAATATGCTCAGGACACTCACATTAGCCTGCAGATGGGCAGAAAGCATCTGGTAGCCCAGTGTGCTGTGGAGTCCAGGTTGCTTCCCCTTGTTTTTGCATGGCTGACTGGGAGCTGCTGCCACAGCTGTGGCCCAGTATGGTGAAAGACTTTAATACTGATTATCACTAGCCCAGGAAAAGATCAAAATTCAAAATTCAAAGTACGTTTTCTACTCTTTGCATATCACTTTCTCATCATTGTAAAGTAGAACCATCGTTAAGTCAGGGATTGCCTGTAATTGATTGTTTCAGCCAGACATCAAACTAATTCAGTAGGGAAAAGGACTGGACTAAAATTATTGGTGTATTTTGACATTTGATCACCATCATTCTACGACTTCTGAAATGGTACAAAAAACCAGATGAGACTGTGTATTCTCCTCTAGTATTAATCGTAGTTTCCAGTATAGAAAACCTTCAGTGGCTCCGAAACCAAGTGTGCATGTAATGGAGACTCTACAGGACCTAAAGGCCACACAAGGTAATTTGGACATGAGACTATTGTAGAATTCTGAGCTGGGGATTCAGGGAGGACAGAAGTAGAATTCTTACTACCAGGCTCATTCTTCTAAGAAGGAAGGTATCAAGCAATAGGCCTTCGTTGTGAGGTTCTGTGGCACTGAGTTATCAATATGTTCTTTCCTAGGAAACAGGTGTGGACCTTCTCCGAACAACTGGGTACAGTACATGGACCATTGCTACCACAAAACCGTGGACATGGTTCCTTGGTTAAGCTGTTCCTTTTGTTTCTTTGAATGCTACATTTTAAAGACAGAAAGAAGCGGCTTGGTGTGAGGTTGAATTTCATTCTTTACTTCGGATATGAACATGGAGTAGGAACCTGTCACAGAGGTGCTCCCTGCGGCTTCTAAAACAAGGGGGAAGGGGACACTCTTGCACTAATCTTCTCTTAGCGTCTTCCACTTCAGCGCAGCTCTCTCCCTCTCTATTTTTTTTTTTAATTTCGAAAACTCTAAGGGACACAAGTGTTTTCTGTTACATGGATGACTTGTATCATGCTGAAGTCAGGGCTTTCGTGTACCGGCCACCAGAATAGTGTACATTGTACTCGATAGGTAGATTTCTTTTCTTTTTTTTTTTTTTTTTGAGACAGTCTCGCTTTGTTGCCCAGGCTAGAGTGAGTGTCCTGGAGTCAGCCTAGCTCACAGCAACCTCACACCTCCTGGGCTCAAGCGATCCTCCTGCCTCAGCCTCCCGAGAAGCTGGGACTACAGGCATGCGCCAACCATGCCCGCTAATTTTTCTATATATATTAGTTGTCCAATTAATTTCTTCTATTTATAGTAGAGACGGGGTCTCGCTCTTGCTTAGGCTGGTTTCAAACTCCTGACCTTGAGCAATCCCCCCGCCTCAGCCTCCCAGAGTACAGTACTAGGATTACAGGCGTGAGCCACCTCGCCCGGCCGATAGGTAGATTTTTATCCCTCAACTCCCTCTTAGCTTCACCCATTCTTAGTTTCTGGTCCATTACAACTCTTTAGTCCATATATTAATATATCCTTCATTTAGCTCCAACTTCTAAGTGAGACCATGTGGTATCTGTTTTTCAATTCCTGAGATACTTCACTTAGGATAAAAGGTTTCCAGTTCCATTGAAGTATTTGAAAATATTATTTCATCCTTTTAATGGCTGAGTAGTACTCCGTGGTATATACCACATTTGTATATATCTCACATTTCTTTATCCACTCATCAGCTGATGGACACTTAGGTGGGTTCCATACTTTGCACCTTGAGCACGGCTTTCCTTTCCTCAAACACTGGCTTTCCCTCACTGTAGGACCTTTGCATTTTTGTCCTCTTCATTCAGTGTTCTCTTCAGATGTAACCATTGCTAACTACTTCACCTCCATCAAGCACTTACCCAGTTATCACTCCCTCCATAAGCCTGCCCTGACAGCCTCTAATTAGAATTTCAACCTGTGCACCACAGTGTCCCCCACCAGGCACCTGCTCTGGACACTCTGTCCCTCTTTCCCTGCTCTAATTTTTTCATAGCACATGTCACCTTCTTACATGCCATATACTTCCGTATGTTATTGTTCTTATTCTGCCCAAAACCTCCCCAAGTAGGATTTTGTCATTTTTGTTCATTAATAGATCTTGAGCTTGAAGCATAGTACAAAGTGGAAAAATGATAAAGTGAGTTGAGAGAAGGAATTTATATTGTGGGGTAGTGTCCTTTTGAACATAAAATATGCTATTAGTTATCTCTTTATTCTTCTTTGTTTTCAATTCATGCTTCAGAAATGCACAGATGTTGCAGTACTAACATATTTTTTGATATTTCATTTATCAGTGAACAAATAATAAACTGCATTATTATTATGGTTCTTTTCTTCTCCTTTACATAAATTCCATATTTTTCTTTTCTTATACACTTTTGGTATTAAGGGATCACTTTTGTGTATTTTGTTTTCATGCAGAATATCATGAAGTTACTTTTAGTAAGTCAGACTTGGATTGGCTTGTCTTATAAGGAAAAGCATAATGAATGGAAGTGGGAGGATGGCTCCTCTACTTCTCCTGGCCTGTAAGTTTCTAGTATATGATCCAATTCCTTATTTCCTTCTCAGTGTCTCAATGTCTTTTGCTTAAAGAGCTGGAGGAAAAAGAATGATTCTTTGGGGCAGAATTTAGACCATTTTATTTTTCATTTTTGTTATTTTATATTATGCTGTCAGCAATTTTATGAATCAAAGTCATTTATGTATTTCATAGTTTGTAAAAAGATGACATTATTGTTAGGTGATTTAATTAATTATAATTTTTGATAATAAATATAATATGGGGAATTCATTATATATGAATTTTGGGATTTTGGAGGGAAGAAGTATAGAATATTTATTCATCAAAGAGTACAGGCCTTTTTAATAGTTTTAAATACATATTGTTAAATTGTCCTGTAGCAACTGCATTAGATAATTATGACAAAAAACATAATAGCAAACTGCTCTGTGTGAATGTTAGTGTTTTAAAATTTTGATAATTTTGATAGCTGGTTATTTTTATTTTGTTCTTTTTAGTTATATTCTTTTGATATTACTGAGGCTATTCTTTCCTACAACTTGTATGTAATCTTTTGCCCATTTTATCATATTTATTTTTGATTTCTTGGTATGAATTCCTTATATATTAAGTTTATAACCTCTCTTTCAGACATGTCTTGCTATTTTGTTTTTCTTTAGTAATTTGCCTTTTAATCTTATTTGCTTTTATTATATGAACAAATGTTTAACATTTAAGTACACTGAAATTGTCTTTATTCATTTAAAATTTATTTTGGAATATGAGAGGGAAAGCTGAAACAGGATGTGTGTGTGTACACATATAGATATAGTTCATTCTCTCTATATATATTTCAATTAGATAACTAATTGCCAGAGTTTTGTTTAAAAGATACATTATTCTTTCCTCACTGATTTTAATGTTATATTTATCACATGCTAAACATTTAATATTTAAATATTTTGCATCATTTAATGTGTAACTTAAATATTTCATAATTTATGTAAATATTTTACGTGTGAACATACTTGGATTTTTCTCTTGGACTATTTCATCATATTGTGAGTCTATTCTTACTTTCATGGTAATCATTTTAATTATTAGAATTTTGTTATTTGATAGTTTTATGTTTCAAATCCTGTACAATGTTTGGTACACAGAACACTCAATAGGTATGTTGAATTAAAAAATACAGAATATATAAAAAATACAGAATATACATAAAATACAGAATATATAACAGAATATTCAGGCAATGTATTTTTCCTAACACAGTTCAGAATTCATTTTTAAACTTCCTTTGGCATTTGAAAAGGGGTATATTATGTATTTAATAGATGAGTAGATAAGCTTTACTTTTTTAAAATGATGTTAGTCAACCAGATTTGCTCTAGAGTTCATAAAAGACAGTCTTGTTCATGTTGACCTAAAATGTTTTGTGTAATTCAGATCTCTAGTCAAGGACTAGATTGAACCACAGTATTTGACAGCATCTTCCTTGTGGCATTTCTGGCAGTGGTGATTTTGTAAACTGAGGTGCCTATCAGAGCAAAGTGTACTCTGATATATTCTAAATTTTATGTATTACATATATCCTAAATTTCATTTTTAATTTTGGCTGACTTGTATATCGAATGCAATGCATTTACAGGTAAATGTCCCTCTCCAAACTGCAGCTGCACATACATAGTTGAATGGTTTCTGTCATGCTGATCTTTACTTAATCCTAACTGTAGATCCCAGGTTGTATGTCCCATCTTTCATGTCATTGCTATAATTTTACAGTCAGATTTTTCTCTCCCCCTCCATACAGGTATATTTTTTCTCATTTATAAATCTCTTTTTATCACATTTTATGTAGCTTATCTATTACTTATCTGCCTATCTCATCTCTTTTATAAATGTATGAGCTCTTTGAAAAGAGGGAGAGCAAACTAACACCTCATGTCCTCCACAGCACCTGGCACAATGAATTGCACATTCTTAAGTAATACTATTTAATTTGAACACACTGAATATAACCAGTGACTTTTGTTTTCTAAAATTTCTTAGGGGTTTACCAGAACCGAAAGTGGATTTCCAGGGGAAATGTGTATATCTAGATGTGCACGGCCTTGGTATTGATGACTGCACAACATCGTCTTCGTGCATGTGTGAGAAGGCTGTCTGTGCTAAAAGCTCAGAAAAAGAAGGTTAATGAAAAGGCTGTGAGGTTGACATCTCAATACTATTCACGGTCTTCCTGCCTTTGTTGCTATTGCTATCAATATTTCATGTAATTCGTGACTCTCTTTTTCCATGGCAGAAACTAAGAAATGATTTTATGGTGGAAAGGGATAATGTATAGGATTAAAGGAAAAATATCAGAGTAGTTTGGAAAACTTAGAAATTTCAGAACCTTGTTGATTTGGGGAAGATTATATAACTAAGCAAATAAACATATCACATGCCATGAATACTTAGTCTTGTAGGGTCTTTCTTATATTTCAAAATCTACTTATTAATTTAGAATTGGGGCACAATGGAAGAACACCTGCAGAACAAATGCAATGAGAAATATAAATGACAAATGATGTAACTTATACAAAGTTTGGCAAAAATAGAAAGTAATATATATATCTTTTATTTTGGCATATTATGGGGGTACAGATTTTAAGGTTTCAATAAATGCCCATTCTCCCCCTCAGAAAGTAATATTAATAGTAACAAGAAGCAGAAGAGAAAAAATAAAATTTAATTAAAATAAATTTCAGAAGTCATCTATTTTCCAAGTTGCTTGAAAAAGTCTTCCAGTAGATTTTTTTATTTAATTTTAGGTTTTAAAAATATATATATATTTTAATTTTAGCATATTACAGGGGTATAAATGTTTAGGTTACATATATTGCCTTTGCCCCACCCAAGTCAGAGCTTAGGGCATGTCCATCCTCTAGACAGTGTGCACCACACCCATTAAGGTGTGTATTTACCCATCCCTTCTTCCCTCTCCCGTCTGCCCAGCACTCGATGAATGTTGCCACTATATGTGCACTTAAGTGTTGATCAGTCAATACCAATTTGTTGGTGAGTACATGTGGTGCTTGTTTTTCCATTCTTGTGATACTTCACTTAGTAGAATGGGATCCAGCTCTATCCAGGATAATACAAGAGGTGCTAGATCACCATTGCTTTTTGTGGCTGAGTAGAAATCCATGGTATACATAGACCACATTTTATTAATCCACTCATGTATTGATGGGCACTTGAGTTGTTTCCACATCTTTGCA